ACATGCATATGTATATATGTGTTGTTACTGTTGTTAAGTACCTTCAAGTCAGTTCTGATATATAGCAACCCTGTCAAGGGTTTCTGAAGAGCTGCTGGTGAGCCTGAACCACCAACCTTGCAGTTCAAACAGATTGTGCAATCCAGAGCATTAACCCACCATGCCATGCTAGGACTCCATATATATGTACATATGATTATGTTTTGTTTTGTTTAAAATGAGTATTAATGTGATAAAGATGACTTAAAATATAATATTGCTTTTATTTAACAATAAATCTGGAACATCATTTCATGGTGGTATATTATATCTAGTGGCACTGTGCGTTAATGTGCTGGACTGCAAAGTCACTTTGAACCACAAAGTTGGCAATTCAAGCTCACCAGCCGCTCCTTGGAAACCCTACACAGGGTTGCTACTAGTCAGAACCAACTCAACGGCACTTAACAACATCCCATTCTAGAATAATTCATTGTCCAATACTTTACCTATTCAATCAAAACTGTAGTATTTCATCTCTGAGTCAGTAGCAAAAATTGTAGGCTAATCTCACTTGTACTAGTAGAACCTGAAAATCCCAGTGGCCCAAGGTTCTTCCCCTCACTTGGAAAGCCTAACATCTAAGTATTATTATAGGGTGCTTTGTTCTTGTTGTTTTGATGGTTCCATGACACTTTTGTCTTTTACATCATTTAAACAAGTTTAATTGATTCATATAGTACATGCATTGTAGGTTTACTTTCTAATTCACTCTTCTCTTTCTTTGTGGCATTAGCACGGTGTATTGCATTTGTGTGGATTTAAAGTTCTGGCCCCTCAGATCAGTTCTGCTCTTGAGTTTACGTCCAAAGAAGAAAGACAGGGGATGGTGACATCCTGGACTGAGAGGCTGAAGACCATCTGGACAGAGGAGCCCATCAAGCCACGTTGTACCTTTAAACCATGATAATACTTTGTGCTATATACACAGTATAGGAGTAGCACAGTACACACCAAGCCACATGCATTAAGAATATGGTGCTGTAATAAAATAAAACTACAACAGGGTTTCCGAGGCTGTAAATCTTTGGGGAGCAGAACGCCTCATCTTCCTCCCATGGAACAGCTGGTAGTTTCAGACTGCTGACCTTGCAGTTCGCAGCCCGATTCGTAACCACTATGCTACCAGAGTCCTGGTGTGGCATTGTGGGTTAATGCATCAGACTGCAAAGTCGTTTGAACTGCAAGGTCGGTGGTTCAAGCTCACCAGCTGCTTCTTGGAAACCCTATACAGGGTCGCTATGGGTCGCAATCAGCTCGACGGCACTTAACAACAACAACTACTGACTGATAGAGTCTTGGTATGGTACTGTGGGTTAATACACCAGACTGCAAGGTCGGTGGTTCATGTTCACTAGCTGCTCCTTGGAAACCCTATACAGGGTCACTATGGGTCAGAACCAACTCGACGGCACTTAACAACAACAACAACAACAACGATGCTGGCTGATATCATTACTCCCTAGGCTTCCTTCTCCTTTATATCTGCCTCATTTCTTACCGTTTCCCTATTTTCAACTTTCATGGGTAATTTTATGTTCCTGTAGTTATTGTGACATAGAACTAGGTTTGTTAGGTTTTCATTTGATTTTTTAACTCAAAATTTTCTTCTTTTTTTTTTTTTAATGTTTTATTGTGAATTATGTGATAGTTTACATGGGCGAACATTAGTTTTACATTCATCCTTCATATATCATTTCATTGTCATGGTAACAATCCCCTCCATGCATCATCAATCAACCAAAGTGTATACCCTACAAGCCTGCCATCCAGTCATCAGCACACGGCCCCTCTCCCTCTCTGGGTCTAAAGTCCCCAGCCACTCCATCTCGCCACGTCATTGTCTCTGCCTCCATCTCAGGCATCACTGCTTCTCTGGGTTGGGTCCCGCTCTCCGCTCTTCTCCCTTGATGGTCCCAGGAACTTCTGCTCCTAGACTGCAAAGTTAATCACTCCCCTCCTTGATACAAAATGTCTACCTTTACATTTCCAACCCTCACAATCAGTCCTGATGACAATGATTCACTCTTGTATCACAAGAGACCTATCTGCATTTTTGTTCATCAGTCCCGCCTAGACAGATTGGATACTACTCAGTGGAGATTCTATCTTCCTCCACGCTCTCTGGATCTAGGTTCCCTCTTGAAAGCTTGTAAGCCAGTTACTTCTTGCCTTTGTAGCCCCCCCACTTTAGGTAGCTAATGTCCAAGTGGCCCATCCCTGTCTACTCTGTGCATGGAGGGGGTGGGAATGATCCTTGTTGTAAAGATTTGTTCCCTCTTGAGCTACTGCATCCAAGTTCATCAAATTGTATCAGATAACTCTTTTTTTCTTCTTCTAGTTGAGCTCTGATCATCCAGTCAATGAAGCCAGGTCAAGTGGGTGTTATCTGCAAGTGTGGGTGTTCTTGTACATATGCCCTCTCTTCTTATCAGCTAAACGTATCACTCTCCACTCTAGTCCTCTGTGGCTGTGTCACTGACTCTGGGTCCAAGAGTCCCCAGGTCTCACCACACTGCTGGCCTACCAGGTCTCCACCCAGATTCACAGGCATTTATTGAACGTTGTAGGGCTTAGCTCGCATCTTCATTGATGTTTTTCCCTCACTTCCCCTTATCGGTGACGATTGTGGTCACCAATTAGAGCATGTATTCCCATTGAGTCTTAGTCTTGGGGTTTGCTCTGAGGGGACCTGACCACTTGCCTTGATGTCTCCTGGGTGAGCAACTTGCTTGTTCTTATAGTAATCAGTCGGTCTGCCTATATTGTTTTTTATTTTTCCTGTTGGTCTTTCAAGAAGTATCCTCTGTTCTTGTAGCCATTCCAGGCTGGTCTGCCCGTCCTTTCAAGTGGAAATTTCCCACCTCTGAAGATTCTGGATGCTGTTCAGGATTCCACCTATGGTCTTATGTAATAATGCAGAGGCTCCACAGGAAGCCTCCTTCACTGGGCACTTTGTAGTCCCATTTTAGGTATTCCAATCAGTTATAGGCAAAAGACAGTCTTACAAGCTTTATATGGTGATATTTCTGGCTATTCCTTTCTCTCCCCTTCCAGTGTCTATTTTATAATGGTATGCAGGGGAAACCAAGATTCAAAAGACAGCCAAGCATCCTAACATTATTTCCCTCCTTTTCCCCTTTCCCTGTATCCCAGAGCCCTGT